ATGAAGTTCTTAGCAATGCATATTACTAATCAAACATTAAGTTTTGATATATTTACGGTAGGACATTTACTAAATATCTTCATGGAACATGATCTTTACTTAATATCCTAATGATTTTTGTCATAAAAGAGAAATGTATAATTGTGACCCATACAATGTATTGTTGGCTATTGCTGCAAATATCCCCCAGCGACTTAACACTGCTTTTGTGCTGCAGGCTCACATTTTAGCTCAGCATTGCCGTCTAATCAGCCAATATTGTCTTAAATAGCCTGCATAGCACTTCATCTTTTATAACATGGGATTTTGACCAAATAATACTCAATCTTGATTTTTGTAAAATGTTGCAACGATGTTAAAAATGTTTTATTTTAGTTTTTTGTGAAAAATTACAGTTTTGGACATATAAGATAATAAAAAATAATTTAGTAACTACAAAAGAGCTAAAATATCTTTCCCCGATCCGCGCAATTTTTTCACCTTTTTTCCCGCTTACACTGGTATGGCTGCGCCGTTCGTCTTAACGCCTGTGTGTGTGAGTCTCGGAGCGCTCAAGTGTTTGCGTTTCTTCAGGACGCCATCCTGAAGCTGGGGCCGTTGCCGCGGTTACTGAATGACATCAGCGTGGCGCTGAGGAACCCACAGCTGCACCGTCAGGCGAGTCACCAGCCGCCCGAACGCCACCTGACCCGGCCCACCTTCAGCCGCCTCGCCACCAACGACTTCCAGAGCCTCATGATGAGAGACCTCAACAGGTGACTGACTGACTGTCGCTCGCTCTGAAGCACAGTACAGTAACGGCAAAGTGCCATGGTCTTACTGGGATGGAGGTTTATATTCTATAGAGAGATGTTCGCTAGGATTTATCAGACTGATGTGTGTGTGTGTGTGTGTGTGTGTGTGTAGCTCCATAGATATCTCTCGTCTGCCGTCTCCAACAGCCGGTCTCTCCAGCAGCGGCATTCTCTCTCACCCTGGAATGGCTGCGTTCTCCGAGCGAGATCTCCGTGGAAACAAAGACGTCTTCTACGTGACCCGCCCACCTCTCGCACGCTCAAGCCCCGCCTACTGCACGAGCAGCTCTGACATCACTGAACCAGACCCCAAGGTGCACACACACACACACTCACTCAATTTCACAATTCAATTCTTATTGGCATATTGGCATGACAAAAATACATTTTGACAAAGATACATATAGGGAAAAATAAATAAATCAAATAAAAATAAAATAACAATTTTTGACAAAGATACATATAGGGAAAAATAAATAAATCAAATAAAAATAAATTATAATAATAACAATTTTCCTGTAGCAACTGCTGGACAGAGAAATGTAACATTATGTACTGTGTAACAGTATTGTGTCTCTCACTCATACACACACACTCTCTCACTCACACTCACTCTCTCTCACACACTCACTCACTCACACACACACACACACACTCTCTCACTCACACTCACTCTCTCTCACACAAACACACTCACTCTCTCACACTCACTCACTCACACACACACACACTCTCTCACATTCACTCACACACACTCACTCTCTCACTCATACACACACTCACTCATACTCTCTCACACACACACACTCTCACTCACACACACACACTCTCACACACTCACTCTCTCACTCATACACACACTCGCTCTCTCACACACACACACTCACTCTCTCACACACACACACACACACACACTCACACACACACTCTCACACACTCACTCTCTCACTCACACACACACACTCTCACTCACACACACTCACTTTCTCACTCACACACATACACTCACTCTCTCACTCACACACACACTCTCACTCACACACACACACTCACTCTCTCACACACACACACGCACTCACTCTCACTCATACACACACTCACTCTCTTACTCACACACACACACTCACACACACACACACACACTCTCACTCACACACACTCTCTTTCTCACTCACACACATACACTCACTCTCTCACTCACACACACACTCTCACTCACACACACTCTCTTTCTCACTCACACACATACACTCACTCTCTCACTCACACACACACTCTCACTCACACACACTCTCTTTCTCACTCACACACATACACTCACTCTCTCACTCACACACACACTCTCACACACACTCACTCTCTCACTCATACACACACTCGCTCTCTCACACACACACACTCACTCTCTCTCACACACACACTCTCTCACTCACTCATACTACTGTGCAGAAGTCTTCAGCTATTAGTATTTTCTCTAACAAAAAAAATTGTTTTAAGTCAGTTATTTCTATCTTTCGCTGTAGTGTGTCAGCAGGAAATATCTGTTCACATTTCTGTAAGATCCACCCAACTGGCCAGACGAAGGTATCCAGTGGTGGCTGAAGGTTTCCTGCGTGTTCCTGCACAAACTAATTTCATTTCATTTCTATTTTAATCTGACTCCATTTCATTATGACCTCAAATTTATGTTGTCATACAAATTGGTTGTATTTTTATATAGACATTTATGTCCAATCATTATTATTCTGACACTTGATCATTCTAGTTAACCCTTTAGCCCCCCATAGTTAATGCAACTTAACTAAAGTCAAGCAGCTAGTCAGAAATCTATAATAAATATTTATATTAATGAAGTATTGTAATATTTACAATAAATATTATTGTTAATAATATAATTATTAGTAGTACTAATTTAATTAATAATATGTATTAAATATATCAGTATGTGTAATAACAAGTATGTTAAATTATAATTTCTTGTCCATCACAGTAATTTATTTACATTTAGTCATTTAGCAGATGCTTTTATCCAAAGTGACTTACGAATGAAGACAACAGAAGCGATAAAAATCAACAAAAGAGCAATATAACAGTGCTATAACAAGTCTCA